TCTGTATGACAGACTTAGTTGTGTGTATATTTCTGTATATGTCATACTTAGTTGTGTGTATATCTCTGTATATGTCATACGTAGTCGTGTGTATATTTCTGTATGACAGACTTAGTTGGGTGTATATCTCTGTATATGTCAGACTTAGTTGTGTGTATATCTCTGTATATGTCAGACTTAGTTGTGTGTATATTTCTGTATATGTCAGACTTAGTTGTGTGTATATCTCTGTATATATCATACGCAGTTGTGTGTATATTTCTGTATGACAGACTTAGTTGTGTGTATATCTCTGTATATGTCAGACTAAGCTGTGGGTATATCTCTGTATGACAGAGTTAGTTGTGTGTATCTCTGTATGACAGACTTAGTTGTGTGTATATTTCTGTATATGTCAGACTTAGTTGTGTGTATATCTCTGTATATGTCATACTTAGTTGTGTGTATATTTCTGTTTGACAGACTTAGTTGTGTGTATATCTCTGTATATGTCAGACTTAGTTGTGTGTATATATCTGTATATGTCAGACTTAGTTGTGTGTATATTTCTGTATATGTCAGACTTAGTAGTGTGTATATCTCTGTATGTGTCAGACTTAGTTGAGTATATCTCTGTGTCAAATTTAGTTGTGTGTATGCCTCTGTATATGTTCTACCTAGTTACATGTATATCTCTGTATATGGTATACTTAGTGTGTATACCACTGTGTCTGTATATAGTGTTATCCTTTATTAAAGATGTCTAGATATACTTGATAACTAAGATTCTGCTGGGGTCAAATTAAAGTATGTTTTCAGGTATCAGCTGTCTACATGAGTGTCGTCCTTGGCGCCCTAGTTCTCCCCACGCTCTGTTCCAATATTGGTACATGTATCTATTGATCCATGTCAGTGATAATGTGGCTCAGTGACAACATATGTGGGTTTTTCAAGAACATTAAACATTATTTCTGATAATTAGTCACATGATGGCGACACGACCCTGATATATTGCACTGCAGTTGATTCATATCGGGCGCGGTTGCTCGGAATCAAATGGAACCATGCTGGTAAAGCGCCATGTTAACGGAAGACTGCCTGCATCAAAGCCGGGCCTATAGTCAACGTACAAAGCACTGCACGTGTGTACCCAAGGCTCAGTAGACCCTCGTCCAACCTGTTTAAACATATTGCACTTTTACGATACGCTACTGGAAAATCTATGTGCCACAATGCATCCTACCAAGGCCATGAAACATGTGTTTACCTTACTTTTGCAAATCATTGTTATGATTTGCATTGAAATGTTTCATGTTCATAAAGTTCATCTTCGCATGAAATTAGATTGATGTGTTCTATTTTTTGGTTGCGACAGCATGGCCTATGCCTCCAAAAGAATGATCTGTTTCCGGGATCATTTGACCGTTAAATATAACACCTGTTGTGACGGTTATTGTGATCGCTAATTTTTCAATTCAAGGTCCTCTGATGTAATGAATGGCATATCGACCCAAACACCTACTCGGGCTGCCATACAGACACACACGCACATTTACCGAACACATACACACTTTCTCTTCAACACACTTTCACACAACACACACAGCTACTCCTGGGTACATGAGTACATACAACCAGACACAATGGTGCATATATACACATGCATACATGCATTCAGGCACACAAAGACATTTATACACATGCATCCAGACACATACGCACATATACATATATATACACATGCACACATGCATCCAGACACACGCATATATACATATATACATATGCATACATGCATTCAGACACACACAAAATATACATATATACACATGCATACAGACACACACGCACATATACATATATACACATGCATACATGCATTCAGACACACAAAGACATTTATACACATGCATCCAGACACACACGCACATATACATATATTTATACATGCATACATGCATTCAGACACACAATGACATGTATGCGTATGCAACAATATACACACGCTGTATATACACGTTCATGCATATAAACACACGACATGCATACACACATGCATCCAGACACACACGCACATATATACATAAATGCATACAGACACAGCCAAGCGCATGACACAGACATACAGACATACGGACACAGGTACATACATTGATACAGACATACAGTCAGACATACGTCTTTCTCACAGTCCCTAAACCATATCATGAAATCTCACAAGCATCCCTTGTCAATTAAATGAAGTTTCTGATTTCTGTCACAATTATGTTTTCAGCGATTAAATGTAAGTCTACAGTACAGTCTGTATCTCTCATATATATGACGTACTCGATGATTTCAGAAGAGAACAACGATGTTTTCATTTGTTTAGACGTCACTCACGGTGAAGTCGGTGTGTCTCATGATAACAATACAGGCATGGGTGGAGTTGCTATATACACCATGACTTCAGCTGTACCCGAATCATTGCTGCACCGCCATAACCACCAACATGTACCAGATCGATTCTTGTATCTGGCCTCTTCATATCAGTGTTGTTACTCATTCAGCATAACACATACTGTGTTTTATGTTGCAGAGTAATGTCCAACACCACTTCCTGTTCACTGTTACGGCATAGTCGTTGTTTAGAGCCATTCACCGCATTCATTATGTACAGTGAATACACGTGTGATGAATAGTCATATATGTATAATCACTGATGTAGTATATTCAGTTACTGTATTAGCTGTATAAGTATATTCACAACCATAGTATACTGAAGACAATGTATATTTATTTGTATATTTGTTGATTTCAAACAATATATATTTTCACTTGTTTTTATTGTTATAATATTTTCACTATTTAGCAGTTTCGATACTTATGTGATAGTATATTCATAGCACGCCATATTGGCTTTTCCACAAAGTATACTCTCCAGAATATCCACTGGTATATTTCACATTGCACATAGCTGTGGTATATTCTGAACTGTAGTATATCAACGATGGTGCATATATACTAAAATACTATTCACTTTAATTCAATGTTTGTGTACTTAAAGATATACACGTATGTAGCACACTTGTATCGCTGTTCGTGCATAAATGCATGCACGCCATGAGTTTCGTTTATGCTCGACTCACCTTCAGTGCTATGTTATTTGATGTGTCACGAGATTCACCAGAGTCTATAAGTATTTCTTGGATGATATGAACATATTAAATCGAGAGAGGTTTTTGTACTTAGCGTATGATTAATCGCGTTTTACTTCCTGAATTTCAAAAGTCTTTTCACATGACGTCATAGCGCATTTAAGTTTATTGTTCAAGTCGGACATAAAACGCAAATTAGTGTGCATTCAAAATACAACATTTGAAAGGTGAGCATTGGTTGTTTTGCTGCTTGGGTGATTTTACTGAACACATCAAAAGCTTTGCATCAAAAATGTCTTTAAGTTTAAAAGATAGTTAAAGTTTTATGTGCATTTTATCTTAATACAATATGTAATAAATTCAACATTACATTCACACTTGAATGCTAACAGCGTGTATCTGAACATTATAAATACAGTCATTTTATGGACTTAAATTATGAAGTCTAAAAGTTTATCAAAACAATTATGGTTTTCATTAGAGTGGCATGTCATAGTTTATTGGGCGTTTTCATGTAAACCTACAGACAAATTTTCAGGCAGTTAAATCTGTAATTGTCCCATCGTCCCTTTTGTTAAGACATGCCCATTAAATCCAAACAAAATATCATGTGAACTCTGTTTTAACTTTTAGGATATTATCAGATGGGTACTTAGGTTATCTTTATTGAAGCTAAACTTTTTATCAAACAAAATGTATAATGTCTCATTCCCTTTGACAAACCTAAAAGGCAATCAAAGCTTAATGTTGCACCGTCAAGCAACGCAACTGAACCGATAGAAAGGTAGAGTGCCCGTCTCTCTCAATTATATGCTCCAGTTTAATATTGCCTCCTTCGCTTTTCGGGAGGGCAATTCTGGATAAATTAAAATCTGCAAGGGGTGAAGAGCATTTTACGTTACATCCTTTAAAATCGGAAAAATTGCGGAAAGGATGTAATGGGCTGGTTTCATTTCTGGAGTAGCAGTAACTGAATCACGACTAACCGAACACTTTGTGAGACATATAACTGCATGTACATAATATATTCCGAAAGAGTTTCATTTTATAGTGAAAATAATTTTTAGGAATTTGTGAAAATGGACAGGATATACTGTCATTGGTACATATAATCATCATCGTTATATTATTTTTAATGGTGTTTTTATTCCTTCATTGTTATTAGTTGTTGTTGTTGTTGTTGTTGTTGTTGTTGATACAATTGCTGTTGTCTTATATATATGTATGTATATATATGTAGCAATATATTTATTAGCTTACTCACATTTACAAACAGCCAGATGCTATTAGTTTGCAAATTAAAAAAGTCATGTTATTGATCCCAGTGTCAGAGGTAAAGCCACATTGTAATGGTCAATAACTGACTCTAAACAGAACACTTTCAAAACAAACTCAGAACAAATTTTCAATTTGGCGTCGTTTGTATCTGTTAAAGTATATTATTGCGAGGTACACTTGAAACAGGTGCCCGAGTTCGTGATACAATCGGCTGGAGATGAAAGGCGCTGACTGAAATCTACATTTGCCGATGGGAAATGTGCACCGACAGTCTTCAAGAAACTATGGAGCAGTATGTTTTTAATGGCACATTTCTGAATAATGGCATGTATATTTTAGTGTGTTTGGGTTTGACAGAGGCAGCTTAAGGAGTTTTTAATACTTAATTGTGTGTCTTCACCTTTTCACAAACGTGTTAGTCGCTGTTTATGAAAATCTGTCAAAAATATATCGTTGCTTTCATAACTTCTAAGAACGTAAAACGAAGAAGGAAAACATTTAAAAACAAAGAATGTTGTGTAAAATATTATCAAAAAGCCGTCAGTTTAAATGTTTAAACTGTGCAATGCATCCAATATCATAGAGAAATAAACCATTTCTACTTACTAGTTGGAGTGGGTATCCCGGGGGCGAGGGGCAGCCAGGAGTGTGGGGAACGACAGGACACGCCCCACTTGGTCTCCCCGAGACGTTGGCCGTATGGGACCGGATAAGAGTTCGTTGCCAATGGGGATTTCTGACTTGATTTCCCAAGAATATCAGCCACACTGAATGACGAGTGGGCGACATGCGACGACGGAGATGAAACTGACGATGATGGTGAACACGGCGGTGACGCACATGATGACGCAGAGTCGTCTTCACACACGACGTCATGATCTGCGTCGTCTGCACCATTACATGTGTCGTCTGCTCGCTTCACGCGATTGTCTGATATGATAGATTCTACACTGAATGATAGTCTTTCCTTTGGACCAGAAGTGTTAGTCATATTGTCAGAGCTCGAACTGGACTTCGGAGGACATTTGACCAGTTCAGTTTCTCTTTCTTCGACAACAGGTGAACTTTCAGGTGAAGATGTCGGTTTCGTAAAAGCTGAATGGGAACTTGTTTTAAAACTCGTTGTTGGTGATCGGGAACGACTCTGCTGTACCTCCATATTGAACAAGAAATGTGAACATCACACCCGACCCCGTTCACTGAGACTTGACTGTAAACACGACATTTTCCATCACTAAATCGTCTGCTCGTTCACTGACAATATATTCCTCAAGACTTGTGTTAGCGGAAGTGACGTACTATTACTCCGTGCGAGAGGGGCAGACGCCGGTACAGATTGTCCAATCAAATTTGCTGCCTGTGAAATTGACAAGAGTCAGGGATCGCCAAATGCCACGTGACTCTGTTTACACTGTGAGCTTGACGGGGAATTAGCTGAGCATGATATGATGGGAGGGGGAGGGCAGGGGAACTTCGGGTTGAAACGGAGGGGGATTTGGACAGGGAGACGAGAGACTGGCGGATAATGAGAGATAGCAGTGGTGCACAAGCGTCGTTGTGTTCGGGGTAAAATACCAGCTGAACAAAACGTATTCAATGATGTGAGGACAACTGTAGATGATTGGTTCAGAAACCATTGCAGTCAGACAAACCAAGCGAAAAATCGCTCAGCGGCGTACCTGAACACAGAAACTCCCTCTCGCGACGTGAAATCCTTAAATATTGCTGCATATACCTGAAGCGATTTCCCCAGATTTATGCAAATCTTCCATCGTGCTGCGCTGTTGAGGATTCCAGACCAAGTCCACTTAAACCCCCCTCACGAGCTACCTAGGGTGTTATGGAGGGGGCTTCTCTGTAATCGCGTTTATATTCTAATGACGAGTTGAACTCGGCTGGGTGTAACTTTATTAATGTTGAAGACAAATGGACGGAGGTGTTGAAGTCGGTATTTTCTATACATCTCATGTCGCCACATATTATAGCGAGTCTCTCATGCATTAAATATGGGGCATTTTATTAAGATGGCGAAGTCCAAACTTCACTATGAAGATACATCAGACTGTCATTATGTGTACAGCTTTGGTGATAATCACGTTGTCCGCTTTGCTGCCTTCGCACCCCGCCGTGGCATTTCTCATAATGAGAACGGTAATTTTAAAAACACTATGAGAGATCGTTTATCGCCGTACAAACCTCACGTGTTCCGTATTAATGATCCATTTACTTACCTCTTTTGCTGGAATGATGTCTTTCTAAGCAAAATTGTCATTACTTTTTATTCGGACTCCGGTGGGGCAAAAACATTAGCTGGGGGGACGTAAATTAGCTGCTGGAGCGACAACTCTCGATGTGAACATAGTCCTTTCTCTGATGTATGATCATGTTTTGATAGATGTAAAAGGAAATTAATTATTTTCTCAGAGAATGTAGAAAAAAATCTTAAATTATATAATATTTTATAGGATGTAGCATATGTGATCTACTTTGAAGATATCATACAACGCTAGACAACATTTTCTTGGAAAATGAAATATCTCTCTTTTTGTCATTTTGTGAGAAAAGAATTCACTTGAGACATTATTAAAACAATCAAAATCATTATCCTCGTCGTCGACATCATCATCATCGGCTGCAGCAGCAGTAGTAGTAGCAGCAGTAGTAGTAGTAGTAGCAGTAGTGTCATTATTACATTATGTCGTCACTGTTTGTCTTGTAACTATAGCGTCCATACCCTGCATATTTCGGATGGCCAACGCCATGAAATCGTTTTCAGATACAAACGAAAGAATGTATAGCATGAATAGGAAACATTTCAGTTCTACCTGATCGCTCTCCGAGGAGCCTTATTTGTGGGTCAGTATAACGCCCGTGTTCCCACTAAGTCCCCAGGACCCCCTTGTCTGGGCTGTCCGCACCCCCCGGCTGTTTTATGACCACCCTACAACACAACATTTCCACCTCTGTCTCACAAAACCGGACTAAAGTTTCGGTCGTAGTTGCACTTCCCCTGTGAGTCTTCCAGCTTTAGAATTGTCGCTTTGTTCGATGTCGTCGTCTGGCGCCACGGACGCTGCAAATAACTGCTATATGCCCGCCTCCTCCCCCATCGGTAGGGGCTACATGATACACCGACCAAATCGTTCGTTTCATTTGTCTAAAATGAAAAGCTTCTTCGGGGACCATTTCAAAAGAAAGTATGAAAATACTTTTTTAAAACGTTTTTGTCGAAAAGATCGTTCAGACTGGAAAAAAACCGCAATTTCCGTCACAGACAATGATTTAGTTTTATATAAACATTTTGGCCATTTTTTTACCGATCTGATCGTTTCAGACAGGCTTGCATATGAATTCATATTTCATCGGAACGAAAACGAAAAAGTGTTTGAAATGTTTTTGAAGGTTTGAAGATGGGAACCAATAGCTGTTTTTAAAAACATACCTGTGCATAATTTCAGCATTATTTATCAACTCAAAAGCTATTGGTTGCGACCCTCTGGCTGGCTAATTTATTTCGTTCCATCACTTTTTCACTTTTCTGCAAGGTTGAGTTACGTTTCGGGCAAAATATAATGTACCCCTCTATCTGAAAAACGCCACCGCCTTTAAGGTACGACTCCGTTATTATTAAAAGGTTGTATAAACTACTAACGCAAATATACTACCTACAATATACCCCACGTGGAAAGGACAAATGTTACTGAAAGTAATGTTCAAATCAATATGTTAAAGAACATTTCACATGCAGAGTAAGGGTCGTACTTGTTAAGAATTCATACTTTGATGAGCATACGTAATTAAACACGTGGTATCACTTAACACAGTTAAATTCTACTTTCAACAAACAGGTGTTGAAATATCTGTTACTATTTCTGCTTATATACCACTACACGGCAGCAGAATCACAACTTCCACGTGCAGTAACTCTGAAATGCATGTTTGACAGATGTCTCTAGGAGATTGATTGACATCAATTAAGGAACGTTGTTAATTGCCCGATACTGTAAGAGAGTGAGGTTATTAGCGAAGATGATAGTAGAGTTACGTTTGCTCAAGTGGTAGGTAAAGAAGGCTAAGTGCATCCATTCCAGATCGTTTATCTATACTTCCAGGAACCTAATTATGTTGCCGTTAACCGAAGACAGACCAATACGCATTGCATGGGGTCATTGTCATCGTATAACTCGGTTATTGTACAGGAGCATTCTTTCTCAATCATATCAAGACACACGCAATCATCCGTCGACACGGCCCTGTTACCCAACAAGCAGTCGCTAGATATTGACTTACCAGCGCCTGCTAACACACCAGTTTCCAAGTGAGTGACCAGTGAGGGTTGTAACAGTCCACATGAATGAGGATCGGTTGGTTGCATATTGTAACCTGATTGTCTCTCTCTCTACAACCACGTAAATCACGGGATCAGGTGGTCACATGTCATCGTATCCCAATTGCGTAGATTGATGCTTGTGCTGTTGATCACTGGATTGTCTGGTCCAGACTCGATTATTTACAGATCACCGCCATATAGCTGGAATATTGCTGAGTACGGCGTTAACAAAAAACAGCAACCCTACAGCAAGGCGTTGATTGGATTTGATTTTCATGTAGTTGACCACTGGTTCAAAGGTCTATGGGCGGCTATTGTCAGCTCGGGTAATTGGAAATAAACAACAGTTAGTGACATTGATCTGATGGCGATGCACACTAGTTCAGGTTTACCGATGTTGGTCGAGAGAGGCAACTAACGGAATCGAGTGGTCGCTTACCTGTTTGATGCATGCTGTGGTATGTCGATTACTTACGTCGATGTTGCCTAACGCTTAGTCTCTGATATATACAATTATGACAGAAACAAATAACCCTTTGCAAGTGTAAAGGAACCCAATGGGATGGGAAATCCTGAACCTAATGACTTGCTACATTTAGCGTTTTTGCACCGCAGAACGGGTTGATTAGACTGACTGACTGAGTGAGTTTAGTTTTACGCCGCTTTTAGCAATATTCCAGCAATATCACGGCGGGGGACACCAGAAATGGGCTTCACTCATTGTACCCATGTGGGGATTCGAACCCGGGTCTTCGGCGTGACGAGCCAACGCTTTAACCACTAGACTACCCCACCGCCCCGGGTTGATTAGAAGGGGAAACAATGTTGTTGAGGGACTGTGAGACAGAATAAGATTAATACTGATATTGCCAATCGCCGAATTGTCTTGTTCAGACTCCGCCGTGAAATGGTCGGAGTATTGCTAAAAACGGCGTAAACCTAAACTCACTCACTTACTCTTGTTCACACTGTTCAGACTAGTTTACTTACAGACGGCCGTAATATTGCTCTGGTCGGAGTTAAACAAAAAGCAAACAAACTCTATCAACAAAAACAAAATGTTTCTTTGATATCTGCAAACTGCACACTTGTTCCAACATTTAGAGAAGTCTTTTTTTACTCTGTTCTTCCTCACAAATCAACACGAAGCGGGTACCTGAAGAATTGTTACTATTTACCAGTTCCTTTCTTCTATAAATGAACAAATGGAATTGTATTTTTATTCAGTCCCACACAGAATGGTCTCACATGGGAGGGCTATATCAACATGAAAGTCTGCATCATGTCAACCACATAATGGAAATATGTAACTATGACTACAGTTGAATACAGTTGATGAAAGAATAAATATGCAGAGTATGAAAGATCTTTTTATTATTTTTATTTAATTAATAAATATGGTGATAGCGAGATAAAAATATAAATCATGGTATCTGTCCAGGTACGCTGAACACACAGTAAAACGCTGTCATCCATTTCTTGATGGTAAACCCATTGTGTTTTATTGCGTCATCTATTCATGCATAGATTTTTATTCATAGGCCGGAGGCTGTGCGTGAATCATCTCTATGATTAGTAAAAAATAATTCATTTGCGTTAGTTCATTATTTGCATGTCATTGTACTCGCTGTACGGACACGGTGAACCAGTCGCCAAAGGAACCTATGCAGAGTTGCGCCCCTTAGTTACCTTAGTTTTAACCCCAGATTTGCCCCTGGCCACTTGTGATTCTTTGTGCTCATCCTACCAATGCTTGTGTTGCACCGCTAGAATCTGCAACAGGCTGTCTGTCCACGTTCAGCAGACAGGCCATGATACAACTGAAGCGCGGTGTAAACTGGCTTTCAATCCAACACCCTTGCTAGACAACTGCAATGAGAGACAATGATACATGCACATGACCGGGGATGACACTCAAAACGTACAGTTACATACCATTGTTGGTTGTATATTCTAGTTTATATGATTAGTTTCAGCATACCATAAGTAAATTGCCAACTTACAGAACAACGTTTATACCGAACACGTTTATAACGAACTGACGCACATGATGAGCTGTTCCTTATCGTC